GAAATGAATTCAATTGTTACTGTAAACGACAAAGAAAATTTGAGGCAGAAATAGTAAATAAAGAAGACTGCAAAATTTGGTGTGGACAGTGCTCCAAGGTCACCTGAATTATAAGAGCGGCCTAAGAAAATTGGCATTTTTAGGAGAAGAGAGAAGTTATCAAGAGGTAATAATGCCAAGAAACACACTGGCAGAGACCCCTGGGTGACGGGAGGGACAGCAAGTGTGTGAGACTTGGAGACAGTCTCTAATCCTACTCGGTTTATTTCTAGTGACAATGTGTCAATCTGCCGTCTTCTTAATACAGTCATACTGTGTCAGGTTTAAAAATGTTTAACTAAATGAATCTTTTAAAAATGATTACTTTTATTTATTTATTTTACTTATTTTTATGGGTAGGAAACTGTGTGTGCCATGGTGTGCATGTGGAGGTCAACTTGTCCTGCAAGGACAACTTGCAGGAGTCAGTTCTTTCCTCCCATCATGTAGGTCTTGGGGATGGAACGCAGGTCATCAGGATTGGCTGCCTCTGCCTGTCTATGCTGAGCCATCTCTCTGGCCTTTTTTTTTTTTTTTTTTTTTTTTTAAAGAAAAACAATTTCATCTAATATTGTACCTGTGCATGTATGTGTAAGGGTGAGAATGTCACATGTGGCGCTCAGAGGACAACTTTATGGAGTCGGTTCTCTCCATATATGTTAATATGGTTCTGGAAATTGAACTCAGGCCTCCAGGCTTATGCGTTTTTCAGATGTCAAGCACCTTTACCCACTGAACCATCTCGCTGCCTGCACCTTTTAAACTCTTCAATTGTTACTACTTAAAAGGTAAACACCATCATTACAGAAGTGCACCTTGTGAAGAATAAGGGAATACTGAAAACAACTCTTCAATCTATTAGCCTTCCCCCTAGACAGCACGACACAAAGTATGGCAAAACACTAAGGCTTCTGTGAAGAGAAAAGTCCTCTAGGTTTGTGTGTTCTGACACACATCTGCTGAGCACTAAGCACATGGACTGCCGGCCTTTGGAGGCATGAATCTCAGCCTCCCCTCCCCCTGTGTTATAGGCTGGAGTCAGGCCCCGGCATGTTATCTTCTTTCCTCCCATGTTGGGTAAGAGACCAGACATCTTCAAGGATGCAACGCATGTGAGATAAAGTCTTCCTATTTTCCTTTGCTTAAAAACAATATGTCCGAGTTGGGCGTCCGAGTTGGGTGTCGTGGTACACGCCTTTAATCCCAGCACTCAGGAGGCAGAGTCAGGAGGATCTCTGTGAGTTCAAGGCCAGCCTGGTCTACAAAGCAAGTTCCAGGACAGCTGGGGTTACAGAGAGACCCTGTCTCAAAACAGACCAAAAAAGAAAAAACAATATGTCCAAGGATACCACCAGGCATGGAGGGACGCATGTGTCACCTCAGCACTTGGGAGGTGGAGGCAGGTCAGTCAAGAGACAGTGAGTTCAAAGCCAGCCTGTATGAGAGCCCATCTCGAAAACAAACACAGACAAAAAAGCAAACAGGCCTTTCTTAGTAAACGCACACACTTTACGCAGCGAAGTGACACAATCTTGGATAGAGGAGCAAATTTTGAGTAACTTTTTTTCTATTACAATTATTTACTTAGTGGAGTGACATGTGTGTGCACACACCTGGAGGACAGAAGACAACTTTTGGGAGTCAGGTCTCTCCTACCATGTGGGTTCTGGGGCTTGAAGCCAGGTCTCCAGGCTTTGTCAGAGACACCTTTATTCAAGGATCTTGAATAATTTCTTTGGCTGGGCTTCCCAATGTTTCCTTTACAAAAGGCATCTTTGTTCATTCACCTTGGTAGGGATGTGATTGTTTCCCTAAGTGGAATTGCTGGATCCAAGACTGGGCATAGGTTAAAAGGTGTCCTTCCTAGTCACATGAGCAGCACCCCACATCAGCAGTACCCCGCTTGAGCAGTACACCTTGGTATAGGCATGCTATCTCTTACCCACTAGTCATTGAATATTTTCTCTTTTTTGTCATTTAGACTGAGATTCAACATATAATCAGAGGAACCATATGTTGGAGGGATTCTAGTAAATTCTTTTTGGTCTAAATCTAGCTGTTCTTGCTAAGGGGAAAAAGCCCTGCATACCCTTCCATGGCTTCCTTTACTTCAGAGGGCTGCGCAAGCACGCTGAGAAATCTGGGAAGGGAAGGCTTGTGGGTGGTGGGGCGGGAAGGCCATCCTGTGGGCCATAGCCAGGCGTTTCCCCCAGGGAAGCACTGCTGTGTCTTCAATATGGTTGGTCACTCTGAAAAGCTGCTGGAATCATTTCCCCTGTGGCACACTGGAGGCAACACCTTGAAGAGGTAACTAGGCCCCTGGGAGGGAGTGTTCCTTCTAAGTGAGCCTGGCCCCTCCCTTTCTCTTCCCTGTGCTGGCCTCTGTCTCCTTTCATGTCACACATGGCATGAGCTCCACACAAGGTGAGGCTACCTGACCTCGGGCTCCTTCTGGAACAAGGAACCAAAATAAATGGCTCGTAACAACAGAAAACAGGCTAAGCCTGTGGATCTAAGGACTGCACGTCACCTTGGACACCTGAACTGCCCCCTCTCCCCAGGGCTCACTCTGCCCACGAAATCACCACAGAGTTCTGGACTTTCACTCTGTTCTGCTGCCAAGGCTATGGTTGGTACCCTGGGCTTCCTGGAATCCTTTCTGAAGCCTTTAAGTCGGGGAGTCTCCAACCAGCCACAGTCCTTATGGCTTTCTTACCTGCATGCTGTTTCCTGCTGAGACACTGCGCATGCTGGGACCTGAAGAAAAAAAAGGAAACTGAAAAACTGAGACAGAGCACGGATGATGGAAGGCTACCCATCTGTGGCAAGTTCCCCCAAAGCCCCTGAGCTGTGGCCCGGCTACAAGCTGGCCAAGACAGACGTACAGCCATGGCTTCTAGGGCATTTTCTGTGAGATTTCCTCTTCACTCAGCCCTGAATGCTTGAAGCTAGCAGAAACCCCCGTGCCCTTCCACAATCCTATCTCAAGGCTTGTGTAAAGAGAAGTGGTCTCTTTATCTTCATTGATGAAGCCACACATCACATCTTTATTAAATACCCTACAGCAATATCACCCTGAAGGAGCCTGATTTCATCAGCTATTTTGAGTTCTTTTGAATATCTGCTATGTGCCAGGCACTGTTCTAGGACCCTGGGCATGCAGCAGTAGACAAAAGCACCTGACCCTATGGAGTTTGTGGTGTACTTGGGAATATCAACAACTTAATTAATTAATTAATTAAAATATAGTAGTCAGAGGTGGTGAAGTGCTATGTAGACAAGAAGGGAAAGAGAGCTGGAGAGATGCCTCAGCAGTTAAGAGCACTGACTGCTCTCGCAGAGTAACCGGGTTCTGTTCCCAGCAGCACGCAGAGGCTAACAACTGTTCGTAACTCCAATTCTAGGGGATTCAGTGCCTTCTTCTGTCCTCCACGGGCATTGCATAACACGGGTGCACTTACACACATGCAGGAAATACACTCGCACACGTAAAATAAAAATAAATAGTTTTAAAAAACAGAAGTTTAAAAAAAGAAAACAAGGAAAAGAAAAAGAAAGAAGTAGAAGAGAAGTAGGGAGTGATGGGAAGGAGTTTCAGAACTGTAAACAGCATGTGGCTCAGATGGAGAGTGCTTACCTAGCATGCATGAAGCCCTCGGTTCAATCCTCAACACCACATAAAACTTGGCATTGTGGTACATGCCTGCAGTCCCAGTACTTGGGAGGTAGAGGCAGGAGGATTGGGAGGGAGAGAAAGAAAGAAAGGTCTAAATCTTGTGGCCAGGAAAGGCCAGACCTCCAAGAAGGTAAATGATGAAAAAAGATATAAAGAACAGAGGATGTGAACCTTGGGAGTCAATGGGAAAGTGGTTCCCAGGGTCAGGAACAGCAAAGGCAAGGTCTGGAGGTGAGAGTCTGCCTGGCGTGGTGACGACTAGTGAGGACAGCAGCATGACCAGAACAGCAACAAGGGAAGGAAATGGGGGTGGGGGTGCGTCGAGAGTTCAGGAGGTCTCAAGATTGCAAGGCACCAGTGAGAGACCTGTGTACAAACTTGGGCTTTGAGGTTGGAGAGACGGCTAAGCAGTTAAGAGCACTGGCTGCTCTTCCAGAGGACCTGGGTTCAGTTCCCAGCACCCACATGGCGGCTAACAATTATCTAAATCTCCAGTTCCAGGGGATCCATTGTCCTTTTCTGGTCTCAGTGGATACTGCACTCAATGGGCACACTTACATACGTGCAGGCAAAACGCTCACACATATTGAGTACATAAATAAACTTGGGCTTTGCTCTGAGAGGACTCACTAAAGGGCTTTATATAGAGAAATGACAATAACAACTCAATCAATCTGGACACACCATTGAAAATAAACTAGCAGGGGTAGAGCCGGTTAGAAGGCTAGTGCAGAAATCCCAGGAAGGGACAGCAGTGGCAAATGGTGTCCTGGCAGTGCTGAGATGTGGTCAGAGTCTAGAGGAGCTGACAGGATTTGCTGATGGATTTAAGTGAAATTACAAAAAAAAAAGGACAAGGGTAGGAGGACTCCCGGGACTGGGGTCTATTCTAGTTTGATGTCTGTTGCTGATAAAGTACTCAGACCAAGAGCAACTTAGGGGAAGACAGGGTTTACTTCATCTTACACTTCCAAGTCACAGTCCCTCATTGAGGGCAATCAGGAGCCTGGAGCAGAAACCACAGAGCTTGCTGGCTTATGCTAGCTAACTTTCTTTTTAAAAAATATTTTATTCATTATTTTATTATTATTATTTTTATCTTTTTGAGACAGGGTCTCCCTGTAGCCCCAGCTGTCCTGGAACTCACTATGTAGACCAGACTGTCCTGGAACTCAGAGAGATCCGCCTGCTTCTGCCTCCCAAGTACTAGGATTAAAGGCGTGTGCCACCATGCCCAGCTTATTTATTATTTTTATTTTATGTGTATGAATGTATTGTCTACATGTATGGAAGTGCACCCATGTCATGCAATGCCCAGAAGAGGGCGTCGGATCCCCTGAAAATGCAGTTACAGACAGTTATTAGCTGCCATATGGGTGCTGGGGATTGAACTTGGGTCCTCTGCAAAAGCAGTTGGTGCTCTTAACTGCGGAGCGATCTCGCCAGACCCTCAGCTAACTTTCTTTATATATATATATTATTTATGTGTATGAGTGCATTGCCTGCATGTGTGTAAGTTCATCCATGTCGTGCAATGCCCACAGAGGACAGAAGAGAACGTCAGATCCCCTGGAACTGGAGTTACAGACGGTTGTTAGCCACCATATGGGTGCTGGGAATTAAACCCAGGTCCTCTGCAAGAGCAGCTGGTGCTCTTAACCACTGAGCCATCTCTCCAGCCCCCTCAGCTAACTTTCTTTTTTTGTTTTTTAAATAAATAATTTATTGAGAATTTCATATATGCATATAAGGTGTTCTGATCAAATCCATGCCCACTCCCTCCCCTCCAAATCCTCCCATTTCTCCCCATCACTTTTTTCTGATAACTTCTTGTACTCTTTCTTCTTTTATTTATTTTTATGGGGCTTTTGGTACTCTAACATCCCCCCCTCTGAAGAGGTAACCATAAAACATTTTAAGGATTAGATACAAGCTCCCAAATACTTTTGACATTTTTGGCCTTTGGAACAGAGTATGTTGCTAAAAGGCCCAGGGACATTTTGACTTTTAGCCAAGAAACTGGCTACTTTTCTTTGGGGTCTTTTTTACCCAAACTGCCTAGCCAATTCCTATTCTTATCACACCATCCTCTGAAGAGGTTACCCAAATTGCCAATAGGGAATCGGGACGCAGGTCGCTCTGGCTTCTTCCATGCTGAACAGGGACGCAGGCTGAGGCAATTGGGGTACCCCTTCAGTGTGTCTATCTAAAAGACTTCCAAATTGTATAACTCTTATCTCTAGGAGGAAAAGAAAGTCCCTGAATCGTGAATTCAGCTAACTTTCTTATATAGCCCAGGCCCACCTGTCTAGGGTGACACCTATAGGAGCTGGGCCCTCCCACGTTTGATCATCAGTCCAGACAGTCTCTCACAGACATGGCCACAGGCCAATCTGATGAAGGCATTTCTTCAGTTGAGCCAGGTGACTAGGTTTTGTCAAGTTGACGATAAAAGCTTACCAGGACAGGGTCTAAGCATCAGGAAGACAAACGTGTCATTTTTATGAACTGTAGATTCCAGTGACAGCGGGATTTGTAGGAAGAGATAAGGATCTTGGCTTTGGATGTGTTAAACACATGTGTCTTTTTGGCATGCCACTAGAATGTGAGTCTGGAGTAGGGGAGTGGAGGTTTGGGAGTTCTCAGCATGTCTTTGGATATCAGTAGAGAAGCTAAAATCGATGATATAACCACGTTCAACAGCTGACTAAGGGCTCACGAGTAGGTAGGACACCAGGAGAGTGGCTGACAAGAGCAGGACCCAGAGGAAGGACACACTATTCGAAGACAGAGAACTAGCAATTAGCAATTGGACTTAGTGTCTTGCAGCCACCTGGTCACTGCAGGCGGGGTAGAGTGGGTAGGATGAACATGTCTGAAGACTGGGGCTGGGGACAGAGGTGGCTGCTGGCATCAGGAGAGCTGGAAGCAAGGGGATCAAAGACTGGAAGAGAAATCGGCTTTCCCTTCACTTTCCTCAAATGCAGAGCACAAAGCTGGCCCATCCCAGCACCTGTAAATGGAGGTACTGAGCTACTCAGGGCCAGGCCCTCCCGGTTGCCGAGATCCATCCATTTCTGTGTCCATAAGCAGCCATCTCTCTGTTCCTAGATTCCCAAGGAGTTATTTCTGGCCCCTAGTGCCGAGTGTAGCCTGAGGATAAACACCCACAGCCTGGGGCTGCTGAGGAAGTCCCCAGGTTCTTACAAACCAAGATCTGATCTCATTTTCCATGATGGAAGGTTCAAGTGAGCAAGAAAGACTGGGTTTCTGCCTACAGGACTGAGTTCTGTCCTAGGAAGCACTACTCAACAAACAAACCTGTAACAGGCAGGGCATTTTAGAAGCCATCAAGCACTGTGAGAGCAATAAAGTGGGGTGAGGGGCAGAGAGGAAGTGTGGAGGATCCTCCTGCTGAAGGGCGGGCCTGGGAGCCGGTGGCCTCTCTGGTACAACCTGGACAATGCTGAGGCAGGTGCTGCGCTGCTCTGAGGCGCCCACTGCACTGTAGCATTCCTGCATCAAGCTGGACCCAAGGCTCACTGGGTACAGAGCCAAAGGGAAACATTCCCGTTTGCCTTGCTCTGGTGTGGACTGCGGACTTTCCCCTCCCACAGTGATGAAAGATCTGCGTTTTCACAGGTGGAGATTTGGGGAATACTGAAGACAGAACAAAATCCTCACTAGACACCTGCCATTCCACTATTCAGAGACAACTACAGCTAATATTCTGTATGAGCCAGGGCAGCGTGTGGCTAGGATCCCGGTACTGGGGAGGCAGAGGCAGGAGGATCGCCAAAGATTTAAGGCCAGCCTGGTCTACATAGAAAGTTCCAGGCCAGCCAGGACTATATGATGAGACTGTCTCGAGAGAAAAAAATAAGACAAACCAAACCAAAAAATAAACAAAAAACATTTGGTATACATCCTTCCAGACATTTTTCTATTATATATGAACATATAATAGAAATGTATATTATGTATACATTTATAATGTATATATTTATATATAATAGAAAAATATATGTGTATATATTTTAAGACAGGTTTTCATGCTGCCTAGGCTGGCCTTGAATTCCTG